TGGGAGGGATGACCAAGACGGTGGTGCTAGAGCAGAGCTGGGTGCGTGAGTATCCGACACAAACAAGACGCAGCTACCTCACCTGACGCAGCTACTGGACCTGACTCAGCCACCTGGGTAGACGCAGTGGTTAGTGTGTACAGGCCAGACCCGGGCTTCCGAGTGAACGTGGCGAGGTGCTCGCCAGTGCGTGAGTCCGTACAGATCGCTACAAGCTCTCCCCCAGGCTGGGTGACAATGACTAACTGGTCCTGTAGGACAGCGATAGCCACCAAGTTCTTAGCGAACGATGGGAGGTGGAGACATGTGAGGGAACCGGAGGGGGCTGCCGGGCACGGGAGAACAGTGGAGCCAAGTGCTACGACTGGGCCACCAGAGGGGTCGGCCAAAGTGACAGGGACAGGGGTTGTAAGCGGGGTGACTGCGGTGCAGTCGCGGAAGAAGCAGCGAGACGCTCCTGAGTCTAGTATGAAAGTGTGCAAGGCCTCCTCAGGCTCTGCACCTGTGCTAGCAAGCTCACAGGCACCTACACTAGTAGCCTCTACACCACCAGGTGCCTCTACACCCCCAGCACTAGTAGGCCAAGCTCCACCACCGGGGCTGCCCCACCGAACAGCCCACTCACGAAGCTGCTGCAGCGAGAGGGTATCCAGCGGACGCTGCTGTCGCTGCTGTCCACCCCCAGGACCTCCGCGTCCACCAGCGGCACCACCAGCAAGAGTAGACGCACAGGTACCTACACTCGCCTCCTCGACCAGCTGCTGTACCTCCCCTAACAACGGACTGCTCTACCGCTGTGGCCGGTGGCAGGACAGAGTGAGGAGTGGTGCCGAACCACATCGTCGTAGAAAGTGTGGGCCGACGTCACCTGACGAACGTGGGTCCTCTGGTCGACCGGAAGGTGAGCACGAACAGCAAGCTCTGCGACAGCGTCGCGCTCCGTCCATTATGTGCAGGCAACGCAGTCCTCCCGGTACCACCGCTGCACGGCCTCGCCAGCGTCAGCAGCATGCTCAGTGGGAGTCGTGAGGGCCTGAAGGGACCCCGACGTGTGCTCAAGCAGGGAGACGCCATATCTAAGGAAACGTCAGAGATACATGTGCAGGCACGCAAGCCACAACTCGAACTTGAAAGGGCGGCCGTCTACGTCAACCGCTAAAACAGACATAGGGGCCATGACAGGCAATGGCAATCAGCAGTAGCGGCGCAAGGGCGGCAGTAGTGACTGCAGCGGCGGAAGTAGTAGCAGCGGTGGCACCAGCAGGACTAAGGCGTGCTAAGGGCGCTCGACTGGCTACTGAAGGGAGGCGCACTCTAGGGGCGCATGACGGCAGCAGCAGTGGCAGCGGTAGCAGTAGCAACAGCAAGGGAGGCAGCAGCAGTTGGACTGAAAGGACGCAGGGCAGGACGGCACGAGTGCGCGGGGCAAGGCAACACTAGTGCATGGGGCAGCTTGGCTCGGGAGCTCGGCAGGTGTGGCGCAGGCGGCAGCAGTAGCATAGCAGCAGCAGCCACACAGTAGCGCAAGAAGGGCAGGGCGGGGTAGCGAGCGCGGTGCTGTGTGCAGGGCAGCGCACTAAGAAGCAGGCAGCAGCGCAGCAGCGGGCAGTGTGCAGCAGCGGGCAGCACGCAGCACCGAGGGCAGCGGGCAGCAGCAGGGGCAGCGCGCAAGCAGCACGCGGGCTGGGCAAGTTGCGCGCGGGCAGCACAGGCAGCACGCGAGCAGATCGGGCAGTGCGCAGGCAGCGAGCGTGCGGGGCACGGGCAGCGTGCGCGCTGGGGGCGCGAGCAGGGGAGGCAGCGCGCGCAGGGCACGGACAGCTCGCGTGCAGGGCGCGCTCGGGGCAGCGTGCAGGTCGCTGGCGGGGCGCAGGGCAGGCGATCGCGGGCGGCGCAGGGCATCGCGCGGGCAATGCGGGCTCGCGGGGCAGGGAAGGGCTAACGCGCGGGGCAAGGCAGCGTCAGTTCGCAGGGCAGAGCAGTCGCGCGCGGGTCAGCGCGCACGGGCAGGGCAGGCGCGATCGCGGGTAGGACAGGGAAGGGCAGCGCTAGCGGGCAGGGTAAGGCAGCGCTAGCGGGCAGGGGGGGTCGCGATCGTTAGGGGCAGGGCAAAATTTTGGGGCAGGGCAGAATGCATGGTGGGCCCTAAAAAAAAAAACGTTGGTCCTAAGGATCGACCTACTCTGAAACCATGTTGGAAAGTAACTGGCATGAATGTGGATTAGGTGAAGGGAGGGGGTAGAAGGAGAGTGTCGAGATGATTTCTGTACCCCCTAAAGCTAGCCCCAATACAGCCTAGATATATCTAAACACATATGTTTTGACTGTTGGAAACAAGTAATTAACGCTTCTGATGTGTCGAAACATCAAACTGCAAACGAGGCGAACTACATCGAAGCAACGGCGAGTCAACCAAGGAGGTTGACAGAAAGTAAAAGCAGGAGGTTAAGGGAAGGTCAAAGGTCAGCGACCTTTGACTCGTCGAAAGGCAGCGCGACAGCAAGGACACACAACTAACTCGGTATTGAGCAGTTGCCCGAGTCGTCGCTGTATTGAACCGCAACAGCAAGAGTTAGTTGCATCTTTTCATATTCCTTGCTATAATCAATCTATCTTGCTCTCACACACTAGTGCAAGGTGGTTCAAACAGTTCACTAAGAACGCTTCCGCAACTACATCATCTCTACTCAGGGTCTTAGCCTTGAAACGATCCTAAGGGCTTTTCTCAGCCCAACATGGTATGAGAGCTAACAAGGCAAGATCCAACTTCATTCAAACTCCTACAACAACAGAAGGCATGGCATCACAGAAGGAGATAAGCTCCTCTAACGGATCTCCCGGCACTACTCCTACTCCACCTCCAGCCTCTGGACTACAGACAGAGGAAGGTACGGCGACAAGACCACCCGCTGAGTCTCCTGAAACTCCTGTGAACCAGGCAACCGGCTTCGATCCAAGCATGATGGAGAAATTCTTCTCTTTCATGTCGTTCTACGAACAACACCAGCAAGCAGTACCTGCGCAATCAAATAACAGCGACAACAATGGCGTCACTCCAATGAGTCTGAAATCAGCAGCAACCTACCTTTGCTCCGTACGAGCCTCAACGCGGCTCCATCAGCTTCATGCCCAACCAGCCTCCACCTGGACAAGAAAAGACTTTGGACGCACTTCAAATACAGTCGCAGTTTGCACACGTCCTGAAACTGCAAACATCAACTCCTTTTGACGGCAATGACTTCTATACCTGGTCGTTCGAATTCGAGCTGATGATGGAGGGCGCGCAAATCCGTGGATTTTTCGACGGCTCCCTGCCATACCCAACGCACGGAACACAGTACGACAAGGTGTTAGAAGGAAATGCTGCCATGAGCAACAAAATGTCGGCGCTGGGATTTGAACTCGTGACCTTCAAATCTGTCCCGAAAGTGTCTCAGGACAGATTCAGGACAGTTTCTGCTGAGGCGCTAGTTATGGTGCACGCGAGTTTCGAACTGGAGACCTTTCGATTCAAGTGTCCCGGAAGTGTCTTGTCAGGACAGATTGGGGACAGTTTGGGGAAAGATTGGGGACAGTTTGGCGAAATCGATCGCGGGTCGCGTTCGGTTTGAAACTCGGCAGCGAAGTGTCGAAGTCAACGGAATTCGCACGGGAGTTACAGTCGGTGGTCGACGGAATTCTGGTCGCGGAAATTCTCGTCTACGGAATTCCAGTCAATGGAATTCGCTCGGCGAAATTCAAGGCTCCGAATTTCGCATCGACGAAATTCAACATGCGACCCGAGTCGACACTTTCTTGTGTGCTTTTATTTTGTATTGCGTCCTAGTATAAAACCAGAGAGCACAAACCAGACATGAACCAAGTCATTATCACTGCTATGTTTGTGTGTATCTCCGGCTATAGTGGACCGTTTCCTGCAATCTTTGGTGCGTTGGAATCATGCTTTCAAGCTCTATCAAGCTGCTATAGTAGTGAAATTCTACATGGTATCAGAGCTGCGTTATCTGCGTCGATCCAACTAGCGGCTTGATTTCGTCCTCCCATCATTTCGTTCCCACGTTGTTGTGGCCTACGCTCGTTTTGACCGCGGATGGAGTGGTTAACGAGCGCCGAGGGCCTGAATGCCCGTCAGGAGCTGGAGGCGTCCGTTCGTGAGCACCACCCAAATTTGCGTGATGAGGAGGTCGACCTCATCGTGGACGGTCGTCTACTACGCAAGGTTCGGGAGCGCGCGGCGGAGCAAGCACCTGCGAGCGGCCAGCAAGGAGGAACCGGTGAAGGAGGAGCTGTGCACGAGGCTCCAACTGTCGTGGGCATTGGCGGAGGAGCTGTTGCACCGACCATCGACACGGGATTGATCGGGACGAGCTACGGTCAATTCAAGTTTGTAGTTGAACATATCTCCGTGACGCCGCTGCTGGAGGGAAGGCACGACCTTACCGCGTGGGTCAGCGCCATCCCACCTCAGCTCCAGTGTGCTGATTTGTGGCAGTTTTGCAACGGGACAGCACCAAGCCCGGCCCCGAACAACCCCTTGCAACGAAGGGAGTACGCAAAGGGCCAAATGCTTGCGTTTATGGTGCTGAACCGATGTGTTTCTCCACCCATCCGAATGTCTATCTCTGGTTTCTCTCAGCAAGAGAAAGCCGGGCAGCTAGCATGGGCATATATCTTGTCTACTTATCAAGCTCGTGATGCCCTCCACGCTTCCCTACTTCAGACCCAGTTAGCCCAACTCAGGAAGGGAGATGATGAGACGGCGGAATCCTACTGCAATAGGGCCCGCACCATCCGAGCGGAGCTGCTGACCATCGGACAGGAGGTCCACATGGCCACGTTTGCTGCTCACGTGCTGAAGGGCCTGCCACCGGAGTACGGATTTCTTCGCCGCAAGCTCGACATTTCCAGCCCTGACATGACGGTGGAACGTGTGTGCAGCGAGGTCTTGATAGAGGAGCAGACTCTCTCCATCGAACAGAGCTACAAGCAGATCACCAGCGATGCATTTGCTTTCTCGGGGCGCTGTCAACACGATCGTGGCTACAACGGGGGTCAACGGGAAGGAAGGGAAAGGAGGAAGAGAGCAGATGGACAAGAAGAAGGATGGCAAGCGGGAGAAGAAGCGAGCCCCCTTCAAGGGGCGCTGCTACAACTGCAATGAGGAGGGGCACATGGCTGCCAAGTGCCCCAACAAGAAGAAGGATACAACACCCGCGGCAGCCGCGAACGTAGCCGAAGGAGACGGGAAGGGCGTGGCGCTCACCGTCGCGTGTTCGGCTGCAAAGTTGCTGGCCAACGACAAGGACTTGTGGTTCCTTGACTCGGGATGTTCCCAACACATGACCGGCCGCAAGGAGTGGTTCACGGTGATCCGTGACCCATCTGCAACGAAATCCGTCAAAGGGTTTGATGGGTCTATGCAGGAAGTTGCCGGTGTTGGCGAGGTTTTGCTAAAGGGCACTAACGGCTTGCGTGTAACCCTGCATGATGTCCTCTTTGTGCCAGGAATGAAGGCCAACTTGGTCTCTCCTGGGCAGCTCACGGACAAAGGAGCAAATCTGCAAACCGAAGAAGGTGTCACCCGCGTCATCGCGTCGGGAGGACAAGTGGCTGCAACAGCACGCTACCGCCATCGTCTTCTCTGCCTTGACCTGAAACCGTGGCCAGCAAGCAACGGCACGACGGCTGGAGCGGCATGCAACGGTACAGTGGCTGCAGCGGCTTGCACCGGTACGACGGCTGGAGCGGCATGCAACGGCACGGTGGCTGCAGCGGCATGCAATGGCACGGCGGCTGGATCAGCATGCAACGGCACGGTGGCTGCAGTGACATGCAATGGCATGACTAAGGCGGTTGCTGACGGAGCGGCCAGCCTCAAGACGTACGCGGTGGGCTCCAAGGCAACGCCCAACTTGTGGCACGCTCGACTTGGACACGTCCACTTCGATGCGGTGAAGCGGACAGCCACGAGCGGTGGCGTGTTAGGCATGGACCTGGAGAAAGGAGGTGAATATGCCGTGCACCTCTTGCCATGAAGCCAAACTCACTCGCAAATCATTTCCGCTGCACGACGAGCGCGAGGAGCAGGTTCTTGGGCTGGTCCATACTAACGTGTGCGGTCCATTTCAGACCCCAGCCATGGATGGAAGCAGGTACTACATTCTGTTCGTGGACCACGCCTCACGTTACACCTGGGGGAAGACGTTGAAGCTGAAGAGCGACGCACTTGCTGCCTTCAAGGAATGGCTTCCCGAAGCTGAACGCCAAACCGGAATGACGCTGAAAGTGTTGCGGTCGGACCGGGGAGGGGAGTTTATGTCGAATGAGTTTCTGTTGCTGCTGAAGCAACGAGGAATCTTGCGTCAACTTTCCTGCCCCTCGACCCCCCAGCAGAACGGTGTGGCTGAACGCCGCAACCGTACGGTAACCGAGGGCATGCGTGTGATGTTGGGGCACATGGGGGTGAAAGAACACTGGTGGCACTTCGCTTTCCAGCAGTTCTTGTGGGTGGTAAACCGTGTGCACCAGTCCACCCTGCCCCATGGTGTGACCCCTCATTTGGTGGTGTTCAAATTCAAGGCCGATGTATCCATGGTCCGTGTGTTTGGGTGCATGGTGCAATACCTCATTTCTGAGCATGAGCGTGAGGGGAAGCTTGCAAGCAAGACTCGTTGGGGCATGCACTTGGGCATGAGCATGGAAAGCAAGGGATGGCGTGTGGTGGATGTTGAGTCAAAGCGCATGGTCATCACCCGGGATGCACGTTTTTATGAGGATATGTCACTTGAACGGTGGCAGAAGTGGCGTGCACGCGTGGGTGACGGGAATGACCAGCCCACACCACCCTTTGCTTCAGTCCCATCTCTCTTTCCTGAGCCCCACGACCCCGAGCAGAATCCGCCGCCACCACGTACCGTCATCGTGGTCCCGGTACCGTCCGTGCAAGGGGGCGAGCAACCCCTTGATCGCTCAGTGGGCCCTTTGGGCAGCAAGGCACCTACTGCACCTCCTCCTCTCGGTCCACCCTCCGTTGCTGATTCGGCGCCCGTGGGACCAGAGGATGGTCCTCTGGAGGTTGGCACCAGCATGGCTGATCACGAGGAAGAAGAAGAAGAAGCAGTGGATGAGCACTCACCAATGGCCCATGAGCATGAGCCTTCACCTGCAGTTCCCCCCATCCAGCCCATTCCACCACCCCCACGTCGCTCCAGCAGGCCTAACAAGGGGGTGCCACCCGTACGGTTTCAGCCATCAGCCATGACGGCCCAAGATGCGGACGATGAGGTCAACCCGTACGATGTGGCGTACCTTGCTGAGGACGATTGCGACATGGACAGCGATGACGAAGTGGAGTACCCGGACGAGGATGAGGAGGAGGAAGGCGCTTGGGGAGGTGTCATCCTCGACCTGGCAACTGCGTTAACCGGACCTGAAGGCAAGGAATGGTGGGCTGCTATGAAGGAGGAGATGGAGAGCCTTGATGAGCAAGGCACTTGGACGTTGGCTGACCTACCCGAAGGTCGCAAAACTGTCGGCGTCAAGTGGCTGCTGAAGAAGAAGCTGCGACCTGACGGTACCGTGGAGAAGTACAAGGCGAGGCTCGTGGCAAAGGGATTCAGCCAGCGCTTCGGCATCGACTACGATGACACCTACGCTCCTGTTGGCAGCTACACCACCGTTCGCGTGCTCCTCTCAATCGCAGCAGCTATGGACCTGGATTTGCTGCAGCTTGATGTGAAGAATGCATTTCTTCACGGCACCATCGACCACGAGATCTACATGCAGCAGCCGCCCTACTTCACCGACGGTAGCAGCAAGGTGTGCCTCCTGCAGAAGAGCCTTTACGGGCTAAAGCAGAGTCCCCTTCTGTGGCAAGGAGCTGGACAAGGTGCTCCTTGTGGAGGGGTACAAGAAGAGCCTTGTGGACCAGGCCCTATACTACAAGGATGGGGCGAGCGGGAAGCGCGTGTGGCTGCTAATCTACGTGGATGACCTGCTAGCGGCAAGTGAAGACCAGCAGCTGCTGCAGAACCTGAAGGGGCTGCTGGCCAAGGCGTTTCAGCTCCGTGAGGTGGAGCCAGTGGAGCGCTACCTGGGGCTGCAGATTGTGCGCGATCGCCCTAACAGGACACTCCTCCTGCACCAGAATGCATACGTGGCGAAGGTGCAGCAGCGGTTCTTCAAGGGGGCGCCACCGAAGAAGCAGCCGATCACTCCTCTCTCCTCTGCCAGCTTTGCCAAGCAGGATGCCGGGCAGTTTGCCAACCGTACCATGACCGAGTACTTGTCAATTCTCGGCATGGTGCAGTTTGCAGCCATCTCAACCCGTCCTGACCTCTCTTTTGCGTGCAGCCGCCTTGCAGCAGGTGCACACCTCAGGTCGGATGCGCATTGGCATGAGCTCTTCCGCACACTCTCCTACTGGGCTGCCTCACCGGACATGGGGCTGCTGTTCAAGGGAGGACCAGAGAGTTTGACTCTCGTGGGGTATGCGGATGCCGATGATGCAGGCGACAAGGAGAACCGATCGTCCACGGGAGGCTACCTCTTTAAGCTTGGCGGAGCTGCCGTCTCCTGGCAGGCCAAGAAGCTGCAGGGTGCGACCAAACTTTCCTCCACCGAGAGCGAGCTTGTGGCTGCGGTGGAAGCGGGAAATGAGGGGCGCAAGCTAAGGTTCCTGCTGTGGGAGTTTCAGCTGCTCAAGAAGGGTGTTCCCACCACCCTGTACGTCGACAACATGTCAGCGGTGCAGCTCAGCCAGGCGGGCGGGCTGCAGGGGCGCATGAAGCATGTGGACCGTCGCCACATGTGGCTGCAGGACATGGTGCGCATGAAGAAGTTGGAGCTGCAGCACATCCCTACGACGGCGCAGCCTGCGGACTTCTTTACGAAGCGGCTCGACAAGGCAGCCTTCAACCGATGCTGTGCAGCAGCCGGGCTGGTCCAGCGTGCTCCTGACAGCAAGGGGGCGTGTTAGAAGGAAATGCTGCCATGAGCAACAAAATGTCGGCGCTGGGATTCGAACTCGTGACCTTCAAATCTGTCCTGAAAGTGTCTCAGGACAGATTCAGGACAGTTTCTGCTAAGGCGCTAGTTATGGTGCACGCGAGTTTCGAACTGGAGACCTTTCGATTCAAGTGTCCCGGAAGTGTCTTGTCAGGACAGATTGGGGACAGTTTGGGGACAGATTGGGGACAGTTTGGCGAAATCGATCGCGGGTCGCGTTCGGTTTGAAACTCGGCAGCGAAGTGTCGAAGTCAACGGAATTCGCACGGGAGTTACAGTCGGTGGTCGACGGAATTCTGGTCGCGGAAATTCTCGTCTACGGAATTCCAGTCAATGGAATTCGCTCGGCGAAATTCAAGGCTCCGAATTTCGCGTCGACGAAATTCAGCATGTGACCCGGGTCGACACTTTCTTGTGTGCTTTTATTTTGTATTGCGTCCTAGTATAAAACCAGAGAGCACAAACCAGACATGAACCAAGTCATTATCACTGCTATGTTTGTGTGTATCTCCGGCTATAGTGGACCGTTTCCTGCAATCTTTGGTGCGTTGGAATCATGCTTTCAAGCTCTATCAAGCTGCTATAGTAGTGAAATTCTACACAAGGAGCAGTACACGTATCAGTCGCTGATGGCGTATACATTTCTCCTACGAAGCATAACGCCAAATGAGCAGCATAACATTCGGTCTTATCGTGGATACGGCAACTCCGCCGAGCTCGCGTACAACCACCTGAAGAACCTGTATCAAGCAACCGACAGCATTAATCAGAGTCGTCTCATGGCACAACTGACAATAGTGGAAATGAAACCCGACGAAAAGGGAATGGCGTATATCAGCCGCTGTCGCGGTCTACGCGACAGACTCCTTCGATGCGGTGGATCGATATCCGAAGAAGCCTTCGTCACTGTCGTCATCACCGGCCTCGGCCCTCATTGGCGCTCCACTCGAGCTATTCTCCGAGCCCACGGGAAGATCTGTGAAGCAGCCCTCTGCGCCGAAATTCACGCCGAGCAACAAGATATGGACCTGCACGAAGAACGTCAAAAGAAAAGGACATCAGCACCAGAATTCGCCTTTCACACTCAGCAACGCTACAACAACAATCGACAGATCGGACAAAGACACGTACCACCATTCTGCCACCTCTGCAAAACGTTTGGTCACTCCCGAATTCACTGCCCGAATCAGCAGCAATTGACACCACCGCCACGTCAGCTTCGACCTTCAAGTAGCCAAGTGGCTTCCACACAGCAGCATCCTTCCAACCAGACGCCGTCTTCAACGACAACATCTCAATCTGCAAAAGAGACAAGAAATATCATAAGCTGCATGACAAGAACAATGGACTCCTGCATCACCGGCTCACCACCGAACTACTCACCCGAAGAATAGCTCAACGAGAGCATGCCTCATCGCGAATCACTGGAGCCAAATCCGACGTACGCAGCCATCGCCCAGAGCGAACCATCCGGGAAAGATACCTGGTTCTTGGACAGTTGCTGCGGACAACACTTGTGTTCTTCAGGTCGCTTCGTTCAACGGGAACAACGTCTTAACCGCGAAGTCGTAATCACTGTCGCCAACAACCAGAGCCTGCGCACACGACGACAAGGGGTAGTTCAGCTTCAGTCTCCAGAAACCAATGTTATCCTACATATGTCGAAGGTCTTAATCGCAGAAGGACTCGGTTACAACTTACTCATCGTCAGTCAACTTATGGCAAAAGGAATCCATCTCGAAGCCGACAGCACAACCCAGGAGTTCAAGCCGTACAACGGGAAGGGAGGACTCTACATCGGGAAGGCAGTACTGAAAAATAATGTCTTCATTCTCGATTTCGTTCCAGACCAAGGCACCACCGATAGCGACGCGATAGTCAACTTCACCTAGTGGACACACCCGCCAGATCTTGACCCCGACTTCAGTCCCGGAGGATTCTGGTACTCGCACACTATACCTGAAGCAGAACGGACGAGAGCGTTAGCAACAATTCGACAAACAACATCGACAGCAGCAGAGACAACAGC